ATCAATGATCATTTTAAACAACTTTATTTTCTTTTAGAGGTCTAAGTACATTAAGCATTCACTTGCTTTTTTGTGACTCCTTTTAAAGTTTTAAGATTAGCTATTTTACATTGTTTTATACGTTATTCCAGGATTTTTCCTCAATGTCAGTAGGAGGAGCGGCTCGAAAAAAATATTGTGATAGAGTAAGGGGGGCTGCGAATTTTCCCCAAGGTTTTTTTGACTCTTCTTCCAGACCACCCTGAGGCATATTTAGTGAACAGTCCCTAAATGAAAATATTATTAATATATGAAACATTCAGCATTGCCATAAAACAGTTCCATGAGGCCTATTATATCTCAAAAACCTTAAAACAACCAATTATGAGGGGTTAAAGTCCTCAAGGGAATTACACCTTTTTTAAAACCTGCACGTGTAAATTTTCAAACTCAAACATGATTATGACTTGAATTAAAGTCGAACGGAAATATTGTATTTCGTAACTCTACCACTCTTTCTTCTTAAAGTCCACTTCACCCAATTTTTTTTATATTTGGAAAGAAAAGACTTTTGTTATAGTAACAACAATTTGTACAAACAAATTTAAATTCATTTATTTAAGCTACATTTTGAAACGAAAACAACCGCGGAGAAAGCCAATTTTGGGATTCCTGTGTGCCTGATCAAAGTCTTTGTGATGACATAGAGAGAGTAAGTCATTTGAGAGACAACGAGAGATACCTACAGTGAAATGACAGTAAAAATCAAAACCTGGTATTTGAACAGCTGTAAATACTACCTACATATATTGTAAGAAGTTATTTACCTCGGGCTGTAAATAACTTTCCCTGTTCCTCGATATAGACATAAATCTACACAACACTTGTTCATCCAGGATAATCTCTCAACTCTTTGGCTCCATTTTTATAGCCAAGGCATAAAATAACGTTCAGACTAATCTCTAGTAGCATTACTAAGATTTGCCGTTCCAGGTTGGATTGTCCCATGTTCAGTCTTAGAAAACATAGATTTGTAATGAAATATGGGGAATTTGTACAATAAACTTTGAATGTATTCACTGAAGGCCGAGTTAATCCATCTACGTCATCAACCCAGGCTCCCTCGCACTCGGTCAAAAATCATTTGGCCGAATTAAACAAGCATAAGAAATATAGAATTTGGAAATTCAATTTTTTTTATGTGGATTTGTGGTTCTCCTAAACTATTTTTTACAAAATGTAAAAAAAATTGGGTGAGGTGGACTTTAAGGTATCAGCGTACCCAAAACTGCCACATTTTAATGATTTTTAACTTGGAGATTGTGTTAGTAATCGGAGAGTTATTGTAGGTGAACGATCTGTCACTCACTCAGTCACTCACTCACTTTCCTATAAACTGCCCTTGTTGCTATAGTAACTATCAGGTAAATATTTATTCCTATGCTTTTTCCTGTAATTAGCTATGCAAATTAACATTCATATTCCTTAAGTCCCGCTGAATCGATTTCCCCATACATCGCCTTATATTCCAGCGCCTGAACTGATTATGCCACTGTGGCACTTTGATGAAAATTGGCGTATTTTAGTACTTTTATAGGGAGCACTATGTTCATTTGATTATCTGAATTGATAGAAATACTTGACATACTTGTAAATTAACTTCAAATACACGTACATGGTGATTTCTTTTAGAGTTTCACTGCAAACAACTCAGAGAAATTGAATTGAATATCAAAAGTGAATTATTATCGTTGGTCGTAGTCAGGCATAATTGTGACCACTCACATCCAAGTCGCGTCGAAACTTATACACAATTGACTGCCGAAATTCTTATTATTACGTGAATTTCAACAGTAATATTCGTATATATAATATTGGGGCGAGATGGTGGGGCGAGATGGCAAAGTAGGGGGAGATGGAATAGTGGGGGCGAGATAGTGGGGACGAGATGGCAATGGGGCAAGATGACCAGTATTCATTTGTATTTGTATCGTGACCGTTTAGTTTTGTTATTGGCCAATTGGCCTAATAACTCATTAATTATGTATGGGTTTTTGAAAAATACATTATAAACAACTGGTCAACTGTATTCTGTCATTTAATATATTTGTGCATTGTACTGATGGAGAGTGGGCAGTGGCAAGCAACTAATTATGTCATTTATCAACAGTGGAGAGAGTGGTGCTGGGAAGACAGTTTGTGCAAAGTTCATCATGAGTTACATTGCAAAGGTTTCTGGTGGTGGACAAAATGTTCAGGTAAAACATTTCAACCATCTTTGTTTGTTTAATAGCAAAAATGTTTCAACTAGTAATTGTTTAATATGTGTTTTCTAGAGAGTAAAAGAT